CTGTCTTAACCTCGTCACAAAAGGTTATAGTTATTCGAAATATGTCCCTATAAGAGAACGGTTTTGCAGACCGATTCTCTTAAATTTCCTTCTTGGTTATTACGCTTAAAGACGACACCTTTTATATCACTAATTACACAAAACAGACCATATCGTTAGAAACAGAAATTGCATAATCACTTTGACTGATTGATTCATTCATTCTTTATTAGGAGATTCTAAGAACATAAGTTTACTAAAGTATTCTTTGCTATCGTAACTTTAACTGAGGTAACACAAAACAAAGTCACCAATACCTCTACATAACACAACTTAAGTAACAGTAGAAATAAACAAATAACTAGATGTACTTCCGCAGGGTCCCCGAAAGTGTTCTGTTTCAAGAGTAAACCAAAATTAAGAGCACCAAATATTTTTATTTCTTGTTTTTGAAGTTGATATGTTATGCTGTGTTATAGTTTACAAAATTCATAATTATTGTCGTGATTAATTGCATGCGCACGTTTTACTGACGTTACAACAGTACAAATTGCAAACAACACATTACTGTATAGTGGTGCGAGCGGATAAAACAGATGACCCCTACAGTCGGCCTTCGGAACCCTTTCGGGGAAATAACCCATATGTTGTATTGAAACTCTCGAAATTTCTTTATAGTTAATAAACAGATGTACTATTATAACAATGACCCATAAAAGTTTTCATTGTAACCAAAATATTTATTTAGTTGTATCGAAAATGTGTCTATACATAATTGGTAGTTCTAATTAGTTGTATCGAAAATGTGTCTATACATAATTGGTAGTTCTAATTAGTTGTATCGAAAATGTGTCTATACATAATTGGTAGTTCTAATTAGTTGTAGCAACGTAGTATATAGATTTTTACATGCTTCAGATTTTTATGGTTTGTTTTTACGAGAACTACCAATTATGTATAGACACATTTTCGATACAACTAAATAGAACTACCAATTTTATGCAAGCACGTTTTCAAATCACAATAAACTAAAGCGTTCTTCAGAAGTGAAGTTTAATTTCATACACTATTTAACTTCGAGTGTATGATATATCGAAAATACAGTTAAAACATGTAAATCAATATTAGCATCATATAAGAATTTACTCGATAAGAAATATATCAAAAAAAGATTAATTATATGTAAGATGATACATCAGTTTTACGTTTACGCCAACGAGAAGAAATCATTTATTTGTATTTGCAACAAATCTACTAAGTCTGTCTGCTACATTCCCTAATTTTTAACTATTGATCAGATGGAAGACAGTCACTTAACATGCTGAGTCATCCTATGTTAAGAGATTGACTGCCATTCTTTTAGCGCACATACAACTTAAATTTCGATGATGTTTGTTTGTTTGAATTTCGATCAAAGCTACACCAGGGCTATCTGCGCTAGTCATCCCTAATTTAGCAGTGAAAGACTAGAGGGAAAGCAACTAGTCATCACCACCACCATCATCGCCAACTCTTAGGCTACTCTTTTACCAACGAATAGTGGGAATGATAGTCAAATTTATACGCCCCCACGGCTGAAAGGGCGAGCATGTTTGGTTGGACGGGAATTCGAACCCTCAGATTGCGAGTCGAGCACCCTAACCCACACCGTCATCTCCGAAATTCAGAGCTTAACCACAGGGTCAACCCGCGTCCATAAGACAATTATTATAACTATATAAAGAAAATAACAATGAAGATGCCAGGAAGTTGTATTAAGAGTGGAACAAATATATATTTAATGTGTATTTCATATAATAATCATATAGAATACATGAGTGAAAATTAAAGAAATCCAAGTCAGGTGAAAGGTAGTAAAACTTTTTATTTCCATTTTGTAAAGTTATAGTTTAAAATTTGGTAATATTATAGAACAGTAATAATCATGTTATATATTGGATATTTGCAACGTTTGTGATATTTTAAGTATATATAATAATCATGTTATATATTGGATATTTGCAACGTTTGTGATATTTTAAGTATATATAATAATCATGTTATATATTGGATATTTGCAACGTTTGTGATATTTTAAGTATATACAACCAACGAATATTAGAATTATAAGGCTAAACGATTTGTTTGTTTGTTTATTTTAGAGCAAAGCCACATTGGACTATCTGCTGTGTCCAAAGTTAGAGAATCGATCTCCGGATTTAGCGTTGGAAGTCCGTAGATTTACCACTGTCCTAAAGGGTAAGGTAACTTAATAATACATTTATCTTCTCCCAACTTTAGCATCAATATTGAAATTTCAAACTTATGTTGTCTCATGTGTCTGTGTTGTTATATTTCAGACACTTGGAAAGTCGTAAATTTCACGAGGTAACTACACTTTCAACTTGTAACTGTTTGAATTGTTTTTGTTGTTATAAGGTAAATCAGTTTGTATCGTTATATTTAAGTGTTCTTCAGATTTGCTAAAGCACTTGTCGCCGCGGTAATTAAAGTGTCGTAACTTTCAAACTGTAATATACAAATCAGCGTTTCTAAATAAATAGAGGTGACGAAATATCGAATACCCAGTTGTTAAATGTATGAAAATAGAGTATAGTCAGCATTTCGAATTACTTCTAATCTATACACAATGATTATTCTGTGTAAGGCATTGTATATTCGGCGTATAAGTTAGTATATTAACTATCTTTAGTGCAGTAGGTGTCATCATAAACATCATATCCAGATAATAATAGTATCATAGAAAAAATATGTTTAACTGACTTTTGCATTGTTTGATACTCTTTGTGTCTCAGAAGTCAAAGTTTGTTACTTTCTTAGTGCAAGCGACGCAATGGGCTATTTGGTCTCAGTCCACTGCGGGGAAAATTAAACTCCGGACTTTAGATAGCAAGTCTATAAACTTATCGCTGTCCCACCGGGGGATTTATAAACTTATCGCTGTCCCACCGGGGGAGTTATAAACTTATCGCTGTCCCACCGGGGGATTTATAAACTCATCGCTGTCCCACCGCAGTTGAAGGTACAAGCCATATTTCTCTATATTTATAATTCCTAATCCATGGTACTTGGAGAATATGTTAAATTACAAAATCAATTTAATAAAAGTAAGGCAAATCCGATATCCCGAACGGTTTAGGAAGATGGGATTACTTTCAGAGTTTTGCTTGAAACGTTCACGCACATTTTTCATAAAATGTTTAGATGAATTTATATTTATAGGTTTTCTTTCTGTTTTCCATGAAGAACAGATCATACTAAAATCTGAATTCGAACAGTATTGAAGATAAAAGTACGATAATTTGTATTTTCCTCAAACATAAATACATAGAGTGAGTTAAGTTATAGCTCTAGATCTCGGTGAGTTATAGCTGGTAGATTACGTTGTTGTTGTTTTTGTATTAGCTTCCGCTTGAATTTATTAGATCAACGTGGTAAAGGGTGGGGAGAAGAAACATTCATTGAAATGTATTACGCCATCATAAATAACCCAAGTAATAAACCTCCCTTGAAGGTGTTTATAATAGTCCGTGATGCGTATTTCCAGGTGCAAACTAGATCAGTCCATCACCCCTACCAACTTCTATATATCTATGTGGGCGAGAGTGAGTTTTCCTGCCCTCTACCTTGAAGCTTGCTACAGTCTTCAAATGTTCTCTTACAATTATAAGACTGTGAAAGCCCTCCAGGAGAGGACACGCATGTATAAAACCTTATACCAGTTTTCCAGAAGTCTTTTCATGCAACTTGTCAGTAATGGCTGAACTTTTAAACACTTACTTGTATAGATACAAAATATAACTTGTTACAAACATGTGTAAGGATACACGTTTGGTTTAAAACACTACACAATGGGCTATCTGTGCTCTGCCCATCACGGGTATCGAAACCCGGTTTCTAGTAGTATAATTCCGCAAACATACCGCTGTGCCACTGGGGGCAAAAACTTATTTATAAAACTTCTCGTTTTTAGATTTCAACTTCCAAATTCATTCTATTTAACATTTTCATGTAATTTGTTTTTAATTATGCACAAAGCTACACAAGGGCTATCTGTACTCTGCCCACCACGAGTATCGAAACCCGGTTTCCAGCGTTGTAAGTCCGCAGACATACCGCTGTGCTACTGGGGGGCAACGTTTTCATGTAAGCGAGTACGAAAGTATTTTTCCGAGTGCATAAAAATATTTAAAAGTTTATAAAGTCTTTATTCATGTAATGGATTCCCCTAAGGTTAAATGTCATTTAAGTCGGAGTTATTCAATATCGAAAGAGTAAAAATATAATAGTAGAGCAATTAAGTTTTTAAAGTTATGAAAATATAAATAAATTATTGAACTCGAAGTTAAATATTTCTTAACTAAAGTAAACATTTTAATAGTAGAAAGTAGATATATATATCTAATATTTGAAGTACGATTATAAAAAATAAAGTATCGCCCTGATGATAATCAGTGATAGAAATATATAGTGTGATTACAGTTAGGGTCGAGTCACGAAGAGACTAAAACACGCATATTGTTTTAATGACTCCTAATTTTGGAAGAAACTAAAACTTACTATAGTTCATAATTTTAAAAATGTGAACTTTACCACTGTTCAATAAGTATGAGTGTGACAAGTTTTCTTGTGTAAATGGTTTAACGTACCTTGAACTTGCACGGTTTTATAGCTGTTTTTCCTTGACCATTCTAATAATGCTCATGAGAATCGCTAACATAGTAGCATGACGCTATTTTCACATTAATATTGTAGCATGACGCTATGTTCACATTAACATTGTAGCATGACGCTATTTTCACATTAGCATTGTAGCATGACAATATGAACACATTAATATTGTAGCATGACGCTATTTTCACAATAATATTGTAGCATGACGTTATTTTCACAATAATATTGTAGCATGACGCTATGTTCACATTAACACTGTAGCATGACGCTATTTTCACATTAACATTGTAGCATGACGCTATTTTCACATTAACATTGTAGCATGACGCTATTTTCACATTAACATTGTAGCATGACGCTATTTTCACATTAACATTGTAGCATGACGCTATTTTCACAATAATATTGTAGCATGACGCTATTTTCACAATAATATTGTAGCATGACGCTATTTTCACAATAATATTGTAGCATGACGTATTTTCACAATAATATTGTAGCATGACGCTATGTTCACATTAACACTGTAGCATGACGCTATGTTCACATTAACGTTGTAGCATGACAATATGAACGCATTAATATTGTAGCATGACGCTGTGTTCACATTAACGTTGTAGCATGACAATATGAACACATTAATATTGTAGCATGACACTGTGTTCACATTAACGTTGTAGCATGATAATATGAACACATTAATATTGTAGCATGACACTGTGTTCACATTAACGTTGTAGCATGATAATATGAACACATTAATATTGTAGCATGCCAATGCGTAAACATTAACATTGTAGCATGCCAATGCGTAAACATTAACATTGTAGCATAACAATGTGTACACATTAACCTTGTAGCATGACACTATGTTCACATTAATGTTGTGGCATAACAATATGTAAACATTAACATTGTAGCATGACACTATGTACACATTAACACTGTAGCATGACACCATGTACACATTAACACTGTAGCATGACACCATGTACACATTAACACTGTAGCATGACAATATGTAAACATTAACATTGTAGCATGACAATGTGTACACATTAACCTTGTAGCATGACACTATGTTCACATTAATGTTGTAGCATAACAATGTGTACACATTAACCTTGTAGCATGACACTATGTTCACATTAATGTTGTGGCATAACAATATGTACACATTAACATTATAGTATGACGCTATGTACACATTAACATTGTAGCAAGACACTATGTTCACATTAATGTTGTGGCATAACAATATGTAAACATTAACATTATAGCATGACACTATGTACACATTAACACTGTAGCATGACGCTATGTACACATTAACATTATATTATGACGCTATGTACACATTAACACTGTAGCATGACACTATGTACACATTAACATTATAGTATAACGCTATGTACACATTAACACTGTAGCATGACACTGTAAACATTAACATTATAGTATGACGCTAAGTACACATTAACACTGTAGCATGACACTATGTACACATTAACACTGTAGCATGACACTATGTACACATTAACACTGTAGCATGACACTATAATGTTAATGTTTACAGTGTCATGCTACAGTGTTAATGTGTACATAGTATGACGCTAGGTACATTCTGATGAAAACTGAAGCTAAAAACTAGAGAAATGAAGTAACAGTTGAAAATTATAACCTGTTTCTACCTGTGCAACAAAACAACAGACAGTTATTTTTTACGAAGAAAAAGGCAAATAATTATACATGTATAAAATAGAAATTATTTTGATATGGTGAATTCATAAAACTACAAACATGTATAGATTATATTGTACTGAAAAATCACTTCTTTATGATAACTTAGCATAATTGGAGCGGCCTTAACGTTAGCAGACAATACAATCTCTGTTGCTAGTGGCAATATTTATATTCAAACTGAAATATATTTTAGAAGAATCATGCACGTTTCTCATGGTAGACGCCAGGGTGTGAAAACTACAAACGTACGATTTCTTGTTATTTATTGTTTACATTTTGCGTCAGTTCAACAAAAATTTTAACTCTTAAAATAAACAATAACATAACGGCGAACAATTGAAAAACCTTGATGTATTTTGTATTCCTTTCCGTAATTTGTGTGATATGTTGAATTTTGGTTATTAATTTAAGCTCGTTAAATCTATATAACCATGTGATAAAAAATGTTTCATTACATTGAAAAGAGCGTTCTTAATTGGTATTTTTAAACCATTATTTGTAATTGCAAGCTATATTTTAGTCACTAAACGTGACTTTTTTCTTGAAGTATGGTAAAATTCACCTATTGGTATGGCTTACATAAAATGTTTTAGGTAAAAACAAAACAATATATAACGCAATTTAACGTTGTTAAATATGATTTGATGCCACAAAAACTGATAAACCATCACTGTTTAATTTAACATTGACACAATATACAAGCTGAATTGACCGTTAAAGGATGTCAGATTAGCGAGACGTAATAAGACTTAACAAACGTAAGTAGATATGTTTATTGAATTGATATAACCTCTGTAAATCTCCCCTGTAGTTGAACCCTAATGAAGAATGTAGTATTTATAAATCTATAATTTTTGGTTAATGCGCAAACATATAACTTAACTCTATACATTATTTTAATATAAGTGCAGCACATTAAAACAGTCTAAAAAGCATAGTTAAGCAGCAGTATGTTGTCTAATAAAGGTGGTATCTTCAAAAGTAAACCGATAAAGATAGGAATACTATATATTCCATGTAATCTCTATTTCACAAGTCTTCAATGTGGTATTAAATTAAAATTTGAATTTACAACCAGATATTGACGCTTATGTCCAGAACATCTCTTATAAAATTACCGTTCACCCACTGTAGCTGGTTGAGAAGGTAATTGTTACAAGTGGTAAAATAAAACAAGTTACTATTGAAAGAAGACAATTTGGCTAAATGAATGTCATTATTTATTAGATAATCTAGACAAATAAATGTTATTATTTAATAGACAATCTGGACAAATGAATGTCATTTATCTATTAGACAATCTGGACAAATGAATGTCATTATTTGTAGACAATCTGGACAAATGAATGTCATTATTTGTTAGATAATCTAGACAAATGAATGTCATTATTTAATAGACAATCTAGACAAATGAATGTCATTTATCTATTAGACAATCTGAACAAATGATGTCATTATTTGTTAGACAATCTGGACAAATGAATGTCATTATTTATTAGACAATTTGGAAAAATGAATGTCATTAATTGTTAGACATTCTGGACAAATGAATGTCATTATTTGTTAGACAATCTGGACAAATGAATGTCATTATTTGTTAGACAATCTGGACAAATGAATGTCATTATTTAGTAGACAATTTGGAGAAATGAATGTCATTATTTAGTAGACAATCTGGACAAATGAATGTCATTATTTGTTAGATAATCTAGACAAATGAATGTCATTACTTGTTAAAACATCTAGGCAAATGAATGTCATTATCTATTAGACAATCTGGACAAATGAATGTCATTATTTGTTAGACAATCTGGACAAATGAATGTCATTATTTGTTAGAAAATCTGGACAAATGAATGTCATTATTTGTTAGACAATCTGGACAAATGAATGTCATTATTTAGTAGACAATTTGGAGAAATGAATGTCATTATTTATTAGACAATTTGGAGAAATGAATGTCATTATTTAGTAGACAATCTGGACAAATGAATGTCATTATTTGTTAGAAAATCTGGACAAATGAATGTCATTACTTGTTAAAACATCTAGGCAAATGAATGTCATTATCTATTAGACAATCTGGACAAATGAATGTCATTATTTGTTAAACAATCTTGATCTCTTTCTGTACCTTATAACTTTGGTTATACCATCATATCTAACCTCGTAGACATAAGAATTACACCTATTAATATATTTTGTCCTGTGGCATCCCCTGGTGGAATTTCTTTATGTATATAACGACATGCATTACTATTCTATTTATCAAAAATATTACATATATTTATAACTATAAAACAAGTTGTGACTATTATAACCATGTCTGGTCTTAAAATACATTTACACAAAAGATGGAAGATTGTTAAATAGGATAACCTCACTGGAATAACTCTAACTACTGTTGTGCCAATGTGGATATAAATGTTTTCACTTATGTTCTTTGATAACATTATTCGTAAGGAGGTACATGTGAAAAGAATATGATTTTGACCACCGCAATTGACACAAGTTGAAAGCAGTGAAAAGTTTAATTTCTATAGGATATCGTTTTATCATATTCACTACTTGGTTGGATCATGGAATTCCAGCCCATTCTCATTAAAATGGCATCATGGATCAGAATCCGCCTATACGTGTCAAGATGTCAGCAATGTTTTGTAGATCATCGACACCGTTGGTTAAGATGCAACCTCAGACTTGTACTAATCTCAACTGTAAATGTTGTACATTAACACTTTATTTATCAAAACTATTACATATTTTTCGAACACTCATTCTAATCCACAAAATGAACTGTTGTTGATTGTTTCAGAGCAATTGTGAAAAGCACACGCCGGCAAATTTCCTCATTCTTCTGTTGCTTCTTTTCATCGTGTGTTCAAGCAGCTACGCGTCCATTGAGACCACTTTGTGCTGACGTGTAACTTACTGTTCTAGAGGTAAGCATGGTCGTTAACATTTATATACTCGATGTTGCCTATCTTGTTAATAACATATCCTCAGGTATTTAACATCACGTTAATTTCCATTATTATTATCCATTTCAGAGTCTCACATACTGCCTCTATTGAAATATATAGTATTGTGGTAATTATTGCCACAGACTATCCTTTACCAGTCAAAACTTTACATATTGTCATGCGGTATGTTGGTCTTGTTGTTTATTATTAAGCACAAAGCTACACAAAGGGCTATCTGTGCTCTGCCCACCATGGGTATCGAAACCCGGTTTCTAGCGGTAGAAGTCCGCAGACATACCACTGTGCTACTGGGGGGCCATGCGGTATGTCAATAATAGGAACTATGTTTAAGTTCACACTACTGCTGTTAAGCTGTATTACCAGTTTGACACTTTCTGAGTGGTTGGAGGACACCCAGTCACAGTGTAAACTATTAGCACGCTATTTTACTCTGGCGCAGCTCGTCTTCTCACGATTAGTTGCATTTCCATTTTATACGTGAACGTTTTAATAATTCATTCCAAACTTCAATTTGAAAAACAAACATTCATAAACAACACAGTTATGTATACACCATTGAGTTATTCATTAGTAGTCTATATTTATTTAATCTACATATAGTCCAAAGTTAGTTTCAATGTACCTAGATATGTTTATTGAATTGATATAACATTTGTAAATCTGCCCTTTAGCTGAACCCTGAAGGGCAGATTTAATAAGGAGATTCAATGAACCTACCTGTATAAGTTTTAAGCGGGGATAAAAAAAATGATGAAAAATACATTATTTATTCTTTAAAAGTGCCACAAGATAAAGATGTTTCGTAATTTCAAATATATGGGCTTACATATAAAGTTTTATGCAGTATTGATTTTAAAGAATGGAAAATAACAACTTGAGAAATATAGTTTTGTTCAATAAGGAGACAACGCAATTGAAAACAGTGCTTGCATCATATTCCTAGAATTAGAAGCTGAGTTTAGTTTATATTTATAAAACTAATACACGTATTTGAAAATAAAAGATTAGAATGATTTAAAAAAGAAATTTGCCCGTCATGGATATTAAGCGTTTAAAGACAAATAAAAATGTAACTTCTCTAAGAAAAGGTTATTTAGACTAACGTATAACTGTATGCTATTTGTTTCGTATTTCAAACACAATAACTGTGTATCAAAACAGTGGGCATCACAAGTGGTTTGTTTTTTGTGTGCTCTAAGCGCAAAGTTTAAATGGGTTATCTGTGTTTTGTCAACCGCCTGTATCGAAACCCGATTTCCGGTGTTATAACTATAAACCCTTAGATTTACCGCTGAGCCACCAAGGGGCGTCTCTAATGTAAAAGCTGAAAATATCTAACTGAAGTTTTTTTGAGTCTACATGTCACAGATTTGTAAACATACTTTTAGAGCTAAAATATTCCGCCCAGATCTTGCCCCTAAGCGTAAGATTGATGTGAAATTAAGTTCAGAATTTGAATTTAAAATTTAAAAAGAAAACAAAACTTTAAAAAAATTACAAATTCACAAGAGAATTAAAGATATAACAAACCATACAACTGAAGTTAAGAAAATATTTTAGGGCGTTCGAGCAGTTGCATCAAAGAACAAAATAACCAAACTGTCTTGTTGTAGAGCAAAGACACGTTGGACTATCTACACGCAGCTGAATATCTCAAGTTCACCAAATGTATTGTTTTTGTACGTTTTCAACTCATTTATATCCACAGCACAATGTGACCGTGCTCATCTAGCAACATGTTCCCGTTAGAAAAGAATTATAGAAATAATCGCTGAATACAAAGGATCTCAGGAGCTACTGTCAAGGTCAAAATTGGTTTGTTTTGAATTTCGCGCAAAGTTACGCGGGGACTATCTGCACTAGCAGTCCCTAATTTAGCACTGAAAGACTAGAAGGAAGGCACCTAGTCATCATCACCCACCGCCAACTCTTGGGTTACTCTTTTACCAACGAAAAGTAAGATTGGCCGTCACATTATAACGCCTCCACGACTGAAAGGGCGAGCACTCTTGGTGGGACGGGGATTCGAATCTGCGATCCTCAGATTGCGAGTCGAGCGCCCTAATCACCTGGTCACGCTGGGCGGTTAAAAATGAAATATTAAGCAAAATAGTCAAATAAACACAGTAAGTTATTTAATAACGCAGAAGCTCGAATAAGTATGCTAATATAAGTATTAAAGACAAAGTTCGTCGCTCAGGTTTGTATAATGCTATCAAGATTCGTTGTTATGGTTAGCAATTTGTATATCATCTAATTCTATTGATTACTTACTTACTAATATTTACTTTTTTATTAATTACGAGATATTAATTACGTTTTATTCTGCGTCTTCATGGAAATCCAGAGAAGGAGCACTTGTGGCCAACATTCGACTCTGGGTCTTCTTGATATAAACACTGATGTATTACCCATTCGTCTGGGTTTTGCTCTGTTTGGAATATTAGTAAATAATTATCTGGATGTCCATAAGAGAGGTGTCCAGGTTTTGCTAACTTCTCCACTAGGTTGAAGTGCATTATCAGTTAGTGTATGTGGAAGGCTTTTTATCTTAATTTTTATTTTGTGTGATTCATATCCTATTTTATCCCATTTTACCTTAAGGCTTTCTTCCTCTGGCATGATGAATTATTGCATTGGGTGTTTCAGGGGTTGTTATTAACCGTGATCGTATTACGTTGTGGCTTCTAAATGCTGTTCTCACGTTATGTTGTTCACGTATCCTATGTATGTGTTTAAAGATAACTTTAACATAGGGGAATTTATGTTTGTAATTTTCTTCCTGGTTAATTTTTATTTTCTTAATCTAGTTTCTGGGTATCAATTGCCAATGAGGGTTGTAGTGGTGTATTTTTCTTCCTTCTTCTTGGCATATTCGTTAATACAAATCTTGCTCATTTTGGAGACTAGTAACCTATGACACATATCTCTACATTGTTGAGGTAGTTTGATCTATAGTCGAGGTATTTACCATACCTGTGGATTTCATGTAAACCCCTGTGGTATATGAGTTATGTGGCTTGGTAACCACCACGTCTAGAAATGGGAATTGTTCTCATTTATTTTTATCGTGAACATTATCGCAGGATTCGATGACGAGGAACCCACTTTGAGACTAATAATGGCTGGAGACGGCTTGAATGGGAAATGAAGAAAAACTTTAATATAAGTTTAACATAACAGCAAATGTACAACGTTTCGACAAGGTTTTGTCATCATTTGTACCTGATGATGTTGTCTGTTCAGGTGTTTCATGAATTGAATTTTGTCAAGCTTGCTCAGCTGGTTCCAGAGTTGAGCTAAAATTTACAATTCTCAGAACATTTCTCTTCATTTATAAGAAAAGTCAACTGTAATTAATCTGTATAAACACTCTTTATACACAAATAAACAAAAGTTTCCAATTTTAATATAGATACATTTAAATACAGTTTTATAACTTAATATTAGCCCATAATAAGTTAAAGTTAGTTTGACGTGGAGAGTTAAAGACAATATGCGTTCAAGCCTCGCACCACCTGTCACACAGCATTATGGTTCATTAACTAACTAACTTTGAAAACTCGAATGTTTAGTAAGCCATATGTCCCCAGGTGGGACAGTGGTAAGTTTACGGATTTACAACTCTAAAATACGACGTTCGAATCCCTGCGGTGGACAAAGCAGATAGCCCAATGTGGTTTTGCTCTAAACTCAACAACCAACTATTAAACCATACAAGAGCTCTGGAGCTACAGAATGAATTGCGGAAACACTAAATAAAGCTTTGAAATTGAATTTAAAACATTTCGTAGTCAAAACATAAAGTATCATCTTAAAGCGTGGAGACACAAAAAAAAACGAAAAATATATTTAAATATTAAAATAGCTAGGAGTAATATGGCAATGCCTTACAAAACAGTATACACAAATACATATATTTCTCATTAAATATTCGAATAAAATATGAAGAAATATTTAAGGAACTGAGGTCAAACCTTATCGCACCTCCTTCTGTCCCTGGAGGCTTAGCAGTAAGTCTAAAGACTTATAGGCTTATCATGTTAAAAATCTGGTTTCGATACCACAGTCAATACCATTAATGAAAAATATAATGTTTGATAAACAAATGATACATAACCCAGATTGGGGATCCGAGTTGGAGATGTGGTGCTACCAAACACGCTTCACTCTTTTAGCTGTCGCTGCGTTATAAGAGTGGCAGTAAGTTCCGCTATTCATATGAGAGTAGACGCTTCAGGAGAGGGTGCTGCCTACTGGTTGCTTTTCCCTACTTTCCAGTTTGTAATTAGGAACGGACATACCTGAATCATATGGCTTCCAAAGAAATATATACCAATTTTTTTCAACTGAGTAACAATTTTAAAAAGAGCATCCTCTATAACTTGGGATTTTTTTTGCACTTAAATTAATAAAAGGCAAGTATATTCTGTTTTTATTTAAACACTTTATTTATTCATTAACTCGTAACAGAAGCACCATTAATGAAAACAAGACGTTTAATGAATTACATTTGACAAGCTAGAACTGGTTAGGAGTACTTATTGAAGAAACATATACGTGGCTTACCACTGAAAAAAAAATCGTTTGTTTGTTTGTAGTTAAGCACAAAGCTGCACAATAAGCTATCTGTGCTCTGCCTACCACGGGTATTGAAGCCCGGTTTCTAGCGTTGTAAATCCGTAGACATACCACTGTGCCACTGGGGAGAGGGGCAAAAATAACGACAAACAACAAAACGTAAGTCATTAAGGTACTCACACAAGTTACAATACAAACCTTTTGAGACATAAAATGAAGGTCCTTGGTGGCAGTCATTGGTCCGTTTTCAATTATTTTTACTGTAATCTCCATAAGGAAAATTTATCCTTTTGATGTTTTATAAAATATTTTTTGTATTAACGGATAACTTCAGAGAAAATGTACTTTTTTTATTTACTGCCTTCAAGAATATTAAC